CTTGATCTTTCAGTGGAACCAGGTTCAATTCCCAGCACCCACACAGTGGCTCACAACAGTCTGTAACTCTAGTTCTGGGGCAGGGGGCTGGGGGGTATGTGATGCCCTCTTCTGGCCTCTGTGGGCCACACATGGTGCACCTGCATAAACACAGCCAAACATTCATATACATAAAGCAAAAATAAATAAATCTTTAAAGAAAAAAACTAATAAGACAGACTCTTGCTCTGCTCGCTGTCTGTCCTGAGGCAGGCAGTCTTTTTCTCCGTATGCCATGATACTCTGTTGGAGAAACAAACTAAACTGAGATACCATGTCTCCCCTGCCTCACTGGCAAATGTTAATTATGAAAAGGGGGAAAGATATCAGAAACACATTTCATATTGCTGACGGGAGAATCTTCTGTTAGCTCTGGGGACAGCAATGCTGGCAGAGACAGCGACACCCCAGGCTGATACAGGAGGCACCTTAGGTCTGCCCCAGGGAGACGCCTGCGTGTTGATGATGTACTCACCGATGCCACTGCCAGGTGCTGTGGCAGTGAAAAACAGACATTACTAGAAAACAAACTGCAACAGTGCCTTTCTGTTGTTGTTGATTTGCTTTGGTAGGGTCTTACTATGTAGTCCCAGGAGGCCTGAACTTGCTATGTCATCTTGGTGGCTTTGAACTCAATAGCAATCCATCTGCCTCAGCCTCCAAAACACTAGTATACATTACATTTGGGGTTTTCTTTTATCTTGTTTGAGAAAAGCTTTCAGGATTGTACTCCTGGCTGCTCTCAAGGGTCTTCTGTGTTCTAAATGCTGAGCTTACAGGCATGTGTCACACCCAGCTATATAGCTGTTTTTCAAATATCAAGCACCTGTTGAAAAGCTTGGGCCAGGTGTCCAAGGCCCCACCTCTACCCCAGTACTGAGGCTATGGCAGGAAGGCCTGTACCTAATGAGTTAGTACAGCCACATGTGAAAGAGTAAAACTATGACATTAATGCTGACTTTCCAAAACACAAGGACAATGAATGTGAGTGGCTGCTACCTGAGGAATGGGGCGAAGTCCACGAAGGCAGCGAACAGTACCACAGACAAATTCCAAACACCAAATCACCCAGACACATCTCAGAAGATGGAACTGAGTATACTCAAGACCACTTCCTGAATTCCTACTCTGCTAGGAAATATGCAGGGTATGGGATGATTACGTGAACAAAACACACACTTTTTATTCCTTGAAATTTATAAATGGTAGGGAGGACATGTATATAATGAAAAGACAAATACAAAATACCTGGAACAGAGAGAGAGCAGAGTTGTAGGTGGGAGGGCTGCAATGTCAGAGAGGGTGACTGAGGAAAGTCTCACTCAAAGGCTTGCCTATCTCGGCCCTGAGGAAGTATACTAGCCAAGGATTTGGTACCAGCAGTCCCAAATGCTGAGCAAACAGCTTAGAGGACAGCGGCAGAGCAAAGATAGGAACATGGGAGGCTGCTGGGCTATGGAGACTGATGGAAAGTTAGGAAGTGTATTTCAAGGGGGTCTCTGATGGGTCCAAGCAGACTGAAGGGGCTAAGATGACAACCATCTTAACAAGAGACTGAGGCTTGGAAGGAGTCTAGATAACTGAGTGGGAGGACTAGGAAGAGAGACGGTGTGTGCATGTACACACGTATGCAGAAGGCCAGAAAACTTTTGAGTTTTTGGCTTACAGCTGGATAGATGGAGAAGCCAGGGACAATGAGAGAAGAATGAGTTTCAAACGGACGTTACCAGGTTGCTCTGAATGTACCTGCCATGGGTATGAGGTATGGGAAATCAGTTACAAGCCAAGGGTGGGGCACACACCTGGACTTAAGTACAGAGACCTAAGATGCCATTAGGGAATAGGGGACTGTGAGGACGAGGGAACACCATTTCGGGAAGGTCTTAAGGCTACAGGAAACAGCAAGGGAAGGGCAATAAGGGTAAGGCAGGAACCCCAGGAGCAGCAGGTGTCCTGTGTAACCAAAGACATGACTTCAGGAAGCAGTACTATGATTGGGTATGTCCCTAGATCCCTGTGTTGGAAACTTAAATCTCTTGATCACTGTTAATGGCATCAGAAGTGGAGTCTTTGGAGGCAGTCAGGATTAGATGAGGTCATGAGTTTGGGATCCCTTATAATAGCTTGAGGGGCTTTGTAACAAGGGGAAGAAAGTCTTGCTGTCCCCAAATGGGTTATCCTTTATTGCATTCAGCAAGAAGGATCTCACCAGGTATGGCCCCTTGACCTTGACTTTCTAACCTCCAGGGCAGGACTGTGAGAAATCTGTTATGACTCAGTCTATGGTACTCAGTGATAACAGAAAATGGACTAAGGCGGTGAATTATGGTGACAAACTCTCTAGACACAATGAGGAAGAGGCACCCAGATAAAAGGGATGGCTTGGAGAATACATGGTCCCTCTGGAACCTGAATGGAAGCCAGAGAAGTGGGCAGTCTTGGGACAGGAATGGGGTCAAGGGAGGGAATGTCTACTGCCCTTGAGAATGTAGCATAGGCAGCGCCTAAGGCCAGGCAGAAGCAATATCCTTGTACTACAGAGTGGCCAGGAAAGCAGAGCTACAGGCATGACTGCAGAGCAGCAGGCACAGGGCAGCCTGAGTAGAAGGGGTCAGACCAATGTTTTTTTTTCCCTTAAAAAAAAAAAAAAAAAAAAAAAAGTTGACAGCAAATTTTTAGAAAAGTTATCATTTTTTTTTTTCCTTTTCTTTTTTGTTTTCCCAGACAGGGTTTCTGTGTAGCCCTGGCTGTCTTGGAACTGCTGTGGAGACCGGCCTCAAACTCAGAGAGCTGCCTGCCACTGTCTCCTGAGTGCTGAGCTCAAAGGCACGCACCATCACTGCTGGCAGATGCTTTTATGGTCTGTGTGAATGTCCAACCCATATATGTACGTATACTACGTGCGCCTGATGCCTGGGGTTGTCAGAAAAATGCCAATCTCTTAGAGCTGGTGCTATGTTGTGAAACACCACGTGGGTACTGGGAACAGAACCTGGTGCTCTTAAACACTAAGCCACCTCTCCAGCCCGAGAGTAGCTTTTTTAAGCGAAACTAAATTGAAATTCTTGGTTTGTGAGTCCTGTATAAACAGGGCTAGATTCAGCCTGTGAGCCATACTTTGCGACCCTGAGCTAGTGAGGCACTGATCTGATGACTACTGGCTGATAAGGAGCTCCACTAGAGGCTGTCGGGAACACCAGCTGGGCCTGGCTGCAGGCTACGGGTCTCCACTGGCAGCTGCCTGGTGCAGGTGCAGAGGAGGCAGTCCATCTCTCAGAATTACGGTTTCGCCAAGTAGATAGAGCGCATACAGGGAAAGTGAGTGAGTGTATGAAGGGGGCAGTTAATGATGGCCACAGAGAAAGGAGGATTGAGAAAGAGTGTGAAGGCTTTGAAGGTCCTATAGACTGAAGACCTGATGGACTTGAGGTTCTGAAGCTGGAAGCAGCAGCAGAAGTGGCTGTGGCGTACATGCTAGGAATGGTGACAGTGGAGGAAGGAGGAGACCATCAACAGTGCCAGGATAGTGAAGGGGGTGGAGAGAGGGAAGGGCACCACGTGGACATAGCAATCTTCAAGAGTAGGAAGGTGAAGAATGGCAAGGTGTCCAGAGGTCTAAAGGAAGCCTTAGCTCTCAAGACAGGGTTTCCAGAGACAGAGGTTAGTTAGCAATAGTCAGTCATGAGGAGCAAGGACACCTGATTCCTGAAAGCCCAACATCAAAGGAACATGGAAAAGAGGACAAAAGAGCTATAGAGCAGCAGCACTTGGGAAGAGCCAGAGCTCAGCCCAGGCACGACCGACGGGAATACACTGGACGAGGAGTACTGGCTGGGCATGGTGGGTCCTGCAAAGCACCATGAAAATCACAAGAGGGAAGAAAAGAGATAAGGCCTGATAAGGGCATGCGCCACCTCAGTCAGGAGTGAAAGGAGGGCAGGGACCCCAGATGACTGGACTGAGAAGGGAAGAAAAGCTGCTGGCAGGCTCCAATGCACAGTGCAGAGTAAGGGCCAACAACTGGCCATTTCTTGGACCCTATTGGTTATTGCCAGGAAAAGGACATGTTACAAACATTAAGAAATGAAGGCAGGTACCAGAAACCTCTTACCTTTAGCTCTGGAAGTCAAGGCTACATGTACCCCTCACCCCCTTCCAGGCAGAGAACTGAGCAGGCACCTTTCCACCATCCAGATGACTCACTGTCCTTGGTACCAACAAGACTCTCAAAATATCTCTACTGAGCTACACAGCTGAGTACATGAAAACTGGCCATGGACTCAGTTCTAGACCTGTTTCTGCTCTTGCCTAACTAGATGAAGACCAAGTTACATGAAGTAAACATGTACGACATGTTTAACTACATAAAGCCTGAGTAACACAGTGTCATGAAGGACACAAACCCCAGGTGACAGGACAGGCAAGGGAAGGAAAAGGAGAAGGCAGAGGTCAGACGGAGACCATGCCTCTCACCAAAGGAGCCAGCAAGGTCTTCCCTGCAGGAACCCAGCATCCCTGCCCTTCCCAAACTTATAGAGGTACAGACTGGCCCCAGGAAAATCTGAGACACTGTGTTCAGTGTCTACATTCAGCTAAAATAAGCACCTGATTCTAGTTACATTGAACCATACAGTGGGTTCTGAAATTCCCCGTGTGTTTAAGATTGGATGACTCCTTTGCACAGCTCTGAATGCCTAGTCTTCAACTCCTTCTCACTTCCTCTTCTCTCATCCTCTAATTCTGTGCCCCTGCTTCTGGCTTTGCTATCTACATCCAGGATGGAAATTACTAGTTTCTATAACATAGCTGAGTAAGTCATAGTTATGACTCAACCATGAAAGATTTAGATTTAAAACTTTCTCTCTCTGTCTTTCTGGAAAGAGTGACACCCGCCTGGACCTTTACTTTTCTGTATTCATTTGGTCACCTGGTGTGACCCTGACCTTTTCCCAATCCTTCACCTGGACTTGGGTCCACAGGAACCTCCGGGACCTTGGGGCCAGTACGACGCCAGGTGCATGGTTCCTTGCCTTGCTCAATCTGGGAGAGGACCTCGGGTTTGGAGATGGCATAGTCTGAGGAAAGACAGGAGGTTAATTCCACCACATTCTCATCAAAGCTGGGCAGTAGACATTTGTCAAATCACCAACAGCCTAGAAACTAAATGTCTTGACTGGTACAGAAGAGCAATACTCAATGGCAGGCCTTCTGCTGCAAAGTCTAGGGATGGTCTTGTGCAGAGTGTACAGGGTGGGAGAGGTGCTACTACTCATTCAACAATGCATGTGAAAGGCCCACAGTCACCTGTCCACAGAGCTCATGGTGCCGCATACAGGGCCACATTAGGAAGCAGCAGCATGTCTGCAAAACAGAACCCCACCAAACACTCTTGGCCGGGAAGTAAGACCAAGAAGAGTGGACTCTGCCTTTCAGGACAGTAGCCGCAGGGGCTGGGGAAGCAGGGCTTTGGGGCAGGGAAAGAACACCTGTTTTGAGAGGCAAGCGCGACCCTGTTCTCACAGATTCTGAAATGGATTATATCAAAGCCACCCAGTCCTTGGAAGGAGAACAACTTCTCTGCTAAACTGGAGTTGATTAGAAAGATGATGGAGAGCCGAGGCACACCTGTGCTCCAGTCTCAGCCAAAACAGATGTCAATACCCTGGGCCTAGTGAGGACAGGTGTCACCACTTTCCCCGGTTTACTCCACCACGCAGAAGGGAGTTTCTGACTTCACCCACAAGTAGGGAAGGATGGGAAGGTGGGAGGGGTCTCCTTGCTCAAAGTATCTAGGGAGTTACCCATCACTGACATGAAAACAGTATCACAGAGAGGTCTGGGAACTCGTAAAATCCCACCTTACAGAAGCATGTCAGGCCTTACCCAGGGAGACCAGCGTCTCGTAGTTGCCCCTCATCACATGCTTGTAGAGTTCCTTCTGCCAGTCCTCCAGTTTGCCCCACTCCTGCTCAGAAAAATACACAGCCACATCATCAAAGGTCAGGGGCATCTGAAACCAGTGTCTCTCTCACACACACTTACACACACACACACGCGCGCGCGTGCTTGCAGGCACAGACCCTCAGCTTCCCCACCCAGGGCATCCAAAAGCTACCTTGGGGACCTCGCCCTTGCTGCCAGGGGGCAGTCGCAGGATCCAGAAGTTCCGGTTGCGCAGCAGGTTCTCCACATTCTCCAGCCGCCGCTGCAGCAGCCCGTACTCCTGAAGCAGGGTCCCCAGCACGGCCCACTTGCCCTCCAGCTGGTTGCTGAACTCCACAGCTGTCTTCTCACAGTCAGCCAGCTTCTTCTCTGCCATCCCAGTTCGACCTTCTAGGGAGAGGAGTCGAGCGGCCTGTGATTCAATCTTCCTCTCCATAGCCTGAATTGTAGCTGCCATTGTCCACGGAGAAATCTTTGAGAAAGAGAAGCCAGCATCATTCCCTGCACTGTTGCACTGGGAGCCTTTAAGACCCTAGGCGTGGGGAATAGGCTGGGAGTGGGGAGCCTGTGTACCTATTAAGGAGGGACATCCTGTATCATGCAGCAGATCTTGCCTTAGAGGGTAGTCTTTTTGGATAACAGATCTGGCTTGACTCTGGCAGGCGCCTTGCCTTGGGACCCCACAGCACACTGAAGATTCCTACCTTGGTGCTTTTCCCCTAGTCATTTCCTGTAGGTCAGCCCTACACATCTCCTCTAGTGGACACTGTCTTTTCACAGCCCAGTGCTAAACACATGGTAAACACAGTGCGATTTTGCAAAGTAAACAGTGACTTAGCATTGCTGGGAGTTTTAGTGGAGAAACGATAAACTGCAGATTTACCAGGGCCCAGCCTGTACTCCTGTCACAATCGCACAGGAACTGCCTGATGATGACCCAGCAAAAACCCCAGCTGCTTCAACTGAGAGGCACAAACAAGGGGGTTGCTCAACTGCTTTTTGAAAAAGCATCTCATGTCCCCACTCAACAGACAGATAATCAATGGCCAATTTTCCTTCCTCTAGGACAATCTGATTTGGTCCTTTCCTAATTGGCCCTCCCCCATGAGCTAAAGTTATCATTACTGCCCATTTTAACCAATCAAAGAGTTGAGTATTTTGCTTGTTTTTGTGATGACGTCTCACATAGCCCAGGCTGACCTAGAACTTGCTAGGTACAAAGGATGGCCTTGAACTCTTGATCTTCCTTGCCTTCAAAACCCACGTTCAGGGGTGACAAGTGTGTTATATGCCTGGCATTAAGAGTTGGACTTGTTACACTGCCAGAACTCTCTGTAAGGTACAAATCATTCCCAGATATGATCTGTCCTGACACCAGGGCCATAGTCTAATCTGGTGAGGAAGGTAGACAGTTAAACGTTTACACGTGCAACAACAATCACAAGATGGGTGCGTCCTGTTACTGGGAACGGCAGAGGCTTTAGTGACTACCTACAGGAACACATTTTTGGTAGGGAATGGGAGGAGCTCCTCCATGTACATCTGAGGTGCAAACCACAGGACTGGAGATCCTTCATGGGTGCTACTTCCGGTCAGTCCCTGGAGACAGATGTTCCTTACATTCTAGAAGAATACTCTCCAACAAAAAAAGGTAGGGGACTACTTGCAAAACAAAAGTGACTTCTAGGAACTAGTGTGGACTCATTTGAGTCACCGGGGACCAGAAAGTGGGGAGACATGTCAGAAAATGGGGACAAGAGGCCTTAACTAGAGGCAGAAGATCTTGCCTGGGTGCTCAAGTTTCTCAGGCTACATGAGGGACACTGGGTGTGACCAAGGACTTCCAGTAGGTCTCAGAAGATGGGTTTTGATGGGCAGAATTGTTAGAAGGGAAAAACTGCTGTAGGATACCTCTGGCCTCTTACTTCTCTTTAGGACAAGCCCTGACTGGAATTATCCCAGACTCTGAGAGTCTATTTCAGATGTATCTTTGTACTTTGCCACCCATTCCCTCTGCTGCAATCTCTGTTACACAAACGGGCATCGGCTCAAACATCTACCTCGTTGATGTTATTCTTGTTCAACGTCTTTTTTTTAATGCGGTCCACTGGCCTTTGAACTGTCCAACCATTAGTATGGGTAGTGCTCTGCTGAAACTTAGCCTCTTGCTAACTCAAAGGAAAGGTGGTATTGCCAACTGCAAAACAGGCAGGGAAGCCACTGGTTTAAGAGGATGCCAAATCCTTCAACTGTTCCTCACCCACATGACCAAGTCCAGGACTTCCAGCCCCTTCCAGCTCTGCAGCCTCACAACCAAAACCATCTCTCCAGCCTTGTGGACCAGTCCCGCACTGTCCTTTCTCTGTGCCTTTCCTCTCTTTGCCCAAGCCCTAAAACGTTAGCTAACTCAACTCACAGAAGCATGGATTGGGTGGCCGGGCAGGAGGAGCAGCAGGGTCTGCTAAGCACCTGCACTCGAACCTCATTTCAGGTTGCTATGACCTCTTTCTGTTCGACCATATGGCTACTCGTGTACCGGTCTGCTTTTCTTATCAGTCATTGAACTGTGAGCACTGTCTTCCCACACTTTCCTCGACGAGAGTCTCCGCAAGTTAACTTCGCTGGGCCTTCAGCTTTTCTTTTGTATGAAAGAATAACTATGATAAGTCACTACCCCACAGGTTTGCAGTGCGGACAAAAATCGTGCCTAAGCCGGGCTGAGTGCAGCGCCAGCCTGGCTGGACAAACGCGAGCAGTCTTCTCGCGCCGCCCGGGAGGGTTGGGCACATAGTGGGTGCTCAGCGTCTACGGAATCGAAGTCGGACACCTCCTAGGTGCCACCAGGCCGCTGGGGGGAGCTGGGGGAGGGAAGCACCGGCCCGGCGCGGAGGAAGGAGCCCGGCCCGGGGACGCGCAGACCGGGAACTTAGCGCGGGTCGGCCTCCGGGGCGCGGACGGCCGTTCCCTGCGCTCGGCTCCACCCGGTCCGGTAGGCCCCGGCGGACTTCGCAGCCGCTCGCCGCAGCCACGGGACCCGCAGGCCCGGTCTGGCCCGGAAGCCGTCCTGGGGCCTGCGGCGCAGTGTGCTGGGCCCCGGCCTTCCGGGGCCCGAGGCCGCGCGGGCCAAGCGCGCGGGCCGCCCTTACCGGAGCCGCGGCCGCCTCGGCCATGGCCCTGCGCTGTCCCGCCCGGCGCGGAGGAAGTCGACGCCGCGGCGCGCGGCCCCACGCAGGCCCGGCCGCCGGGTCCTCTCCGCCGGCAGCG